TATATATATATATATATATATATATATATATATATCACTAAAACATTTGTTCTAACCACTACTGTCAATTCTGCCCCACTTTCTGCTAAAGCTACATGTCATAATGACGTTTAATCAGACTAAAACTATATTAAAAAAGTACTTTTGTTTCGCCTTTCCAAATTCAACTGTAGTTTACCTGGTGCAACTATAGCCTGCCCATGTTCACTCTGACTAGCAGATTTCTTAAATCCATACAAGTACGGTGATAAAAATAGTAATAACAACGTTAACAGTAATTAATCAATAAATAAATTAAATAAACTAACATCCGGATTCACTACATCCTTCAATTCTTTTCTTTTTCTCTCAATTTCTGCCCTTAAAATGTCCATTAAGCGTACCACAAAATATCAGAAGCAACCAAGAAACCTAAAAACAACTTATTGGAACATTTTCTCCTCAATTTTTATCGTCTGGCACAAGTATTTGGCTAAACAATACGCTTCAAAAACGATACACAAAAAGCGTCAAAAAGAAACTTCCCAGCAGCTCAGAACAGGCTCTTTAAAAGCCGTAAACCACCATCTTCAAGCAAACGCTACTTAATACGAGCAAAGAGAGTAGATTCATAAAAATCCTTGGTATTTCCATAGATAGTGAGCCACATCTTAAATACGTTTTTTCTTTTTTTGATTTCTTGAGTATTTTAATTCAGATTTCTCAGAAAATCAAGAATTACTTTGAAAAATGAGCAAAAAATTTAAGGTTGAGCTAGAACTTTTTTGGTACATAATCTTCAGTCGCAAAAGTTCCGGATGGAAATAAGCCCAAGTCAGACAAATAGAATCAGTAACTCGCGCCAAAATGCGATAAAAAAAAAGTTTGATTTTTTTAAGTGAAGGGGAGTTTTCAAAATAAAAAAAAAGCACCGACTCTCCGGGAAAACTTAAAACGCTTTCTAACCATCAATGTGGAATTGAAGAAAGACAAATATATATAGTTATGACTGCCTCTAGTGAGCTTCCAGATGAAATTTCATGCATCAATACGACTTGCCAAAAGAAAAACTCCTTGTTTGGCAGAATTCCAAAATTTTCAAACTAATTCACATTTCAAAAAATTTTTTTTTTCTTCTGTCGGCATGCCGCCCGTTGATGTTAACCTTGTAACATATTATGCATCTCCCGTCCTCATTTATATGCCTTTATCTGTGCTTTTTTGCTCGTTTAATACCTTCTCAGTAATATTTTTAATGGCGATAGTGTTTGAAACATTTAAAAATCTAGTAATCCATTATCTCATCCAAGAAGCACCTAGTTTCCATCGATTTCTAAACTTGTTTTTTTTTTACCAGCTCCAATGGGTATTTTATCGTGAACTTTGTGTATGAGATTTTATCCAACATTTTGATGCTATGATTTTTGATTGTTTTTTTGGTAAGTATACTTTCAGCTCTCCTTCAAAATCTTCATTCTGTTCCTGGTAATTTTATAAAGTTTGTTGGAAAAAGAGATAATTCCTTTACATATGTAAATATTCTTTAGTGAACTGATACGTTCAAATGCTTTAACAATGGGTTTTAGAATGGGTGTTATGGGAAATATTATTCAATTTAATTGATGAAAGACAGTGCCAAATGTTAAAAAAGTCATCGTTGTTGAATCAGTATGAGTGAAAAACTACAACTCCTGACAAACTTCTGGTCTAGATGCTGCAAATTCGGTACGGAGTTACTTTACTTTTATTGACTGTACAGTGACATCGACGGGTTACCTTCTGTGCATATACGAATATAAATATAAATAGATATATATCTGTTTAGATGGTTGTGTATAAATTATGAGGTGCAATTGCATTTGAGCATACCTATTCAAAACTGTGCTTTTCTTTTCCTGTTAGTCACTTTATCTTTGAATAAGGAGTTTTATAATTATAGTTATTCAAGAAGATGTTGTCATGCACTTCAAATAACAACTGCCATGTTGTGGCAAATAAGAATATTTTTATAATCATGCCGAATGTCTAGAATTAAAAAGTATTTGTGTCCTAAAGAGTACAGTGTTTGCCTGCGATGCTTACAACAAGGCAGAAATTTCATTGTCAGTTTGCAGATTAGATTTTGCAAGTGAATCTTTCTTCTTTCAGTATTGCCGTTGAATCTTCTCTCTGCTTCAAAAGCAAAGAACTTTTCTTTAAATCTTGCCTGTACATTAAGCTTAAATAACACTTCAATTGTGACCTCAGGACTAATGATTCCTTCGTTTTTGTGTTTTTTTTTTTTTGTTCTATTTCACTAATATTTATTATTTTTCAAGATTTCGCTTGTTATCTTGCATTATTTAGATGGACTTTATAAATAAAACATATTACTTTATTTCTATTTTTGGATATGGATATTAAGCCAGTATTGTCGTGCCCCGAGATCGAAGTCGGAGGGAATTATTTTGTTAAGCAAAAGACAAATGACTTCCGCCCAGCTGTTGTTCTTGAGAACCGAATTAATTCTGTTACTGGAGTTCTTGAATGCTATGTTCATTACGAATCTACTGATCATCGTTTGGATGAGTGGGTTAACGCTGATTGCGTTGAATCGCGTTCTGCAACTGAACCATCCACATCGGTAAATTTTTATTTAATTATCCTTAGATTAGGGCTACGTGTTTAGCTAGATTTTCAAGTATTAGCCTGTGGCTAATGCAAGTAAAACGAGTTTGGAAGTGTTAAAATAGTGGTAAATTGTCTGTGAACTGATCTTCCACAATTTTTTTTAAGGATTGCGAGCCAGTGGTGAAGTTAACACGCATGCAGAAAAGGAAAATTGTGCAGAACATCGCAGATTCAGACATCAATAACCATGAGGTGAAGCGGGAGAAGGTTATCTTGGATTTTTTACGATTTTGGGCTGGTTTTGTCATTGAACACTACCTTACTGGAGTGAGTTTTACTTGAAAGCGTTGCTTCGTCTGGTATATTCTCCTTTTACTTCCAGGGCTCGAAAGTGAAGCGAATAGAAAAAATAATATATGGAGATTATTTAATTCACACCTGGTATCATTCTCCATATCCTAAAGAGTACGAAGATTGTACAATTCTTTATGTCTGCGATCACTGCCTGAAGTATATGATGTACGACTATACATACGTGAAACACCGCCGTGACTGCAGACGTATACATCCTCCAGGCAAAGAAATTTATCGTGATGGGTCCTTCGTTTTATACGAGGTTCACGGAAACCATGCACGAGCTAAGGTTCCCCCTACAGTCATATATCAAAAATTTTGTGAAAATTACTTTAAATTTTCCCAACGGTCCGTTATTTTAGCCTTACTGTCAGTGCTTATGTTATTTGGCGAAGCTTTTTATCGACCAAAAGACCATATTTTGCGACCTCGATAGCTTTATGTTCTACGTGCTGTGCGAAGTAATTTTACCACAAGAGAGCTCACATTAATATTTTTGATTCAAAAAAAGCTACAGTAGATTACCTGCGACTGAACCATCCACATCGGTAATTTGAAAGTGGGCTTTGATTTGAAATTCGGATGTAGATAACTTTATATTTTCAGGTGAAGGACCAAAAGTCATCTATGGTAGGATATTTTTCAAAAGAAACGGGGAATATCGATGATTATAATTTAGCTTGCATATGTATTTTGCCTCCTTTCCAAAGAACTGGTTACGGAAAACTGCTAATTCAATTCAGTTGGTTTATGTCCTAAATTTATCATTTATGAGCTCTCCTCGTATATCATTTTGATGCGCAGCTTACACTTTCCTAGGTTATGAGCTATCGAGACGCGAGGGCATTGTGGGTTCTCCTGAAAAGCCTCTTAGTGACCTTGGGAAGTACAGTTATCAGTCATATTGGTCTTGGGCTCTATTAGAGGTTTTGAAAAGAACTAAGAAGATCACTTTAGAAGAGTTAAGCAAGACGACTGGTATCCATGAAGATGATATTGTTGGTAAGTCTTTTCTTCCGTTTCCCAAATAGCTCCAGATGAATGTCGGCGGAAGTACGAGTTCTTAAAATTGATCTGGCTTCTTTTACAGTAAATATCGTTGATTTTAAGCCTGTCTGACAGACTTGCATATGACAAAGTATTGGAAGGGAACTCCTTGGCTTCGTATTACAAAAACGGCGGTTGAGAAATGTTATCGTAATGGAGTGGTCAAGAAACCGCGAATAGTGTTGAAGCCTAATTTACTACACTGGAAGGCACCGCAGCAAAGGTAAGCTGCGGAAGAACTTGATTTCTCTGCAGAAATGCTGTACGTGGCTTCGCAAATAGATCTGCAAAGGTCTTTTTAAAGCTAATACAGTGAAGGATGTTATCTCATCTTTTTCCTCTGTACAAACTGTATTATTATTTTATTATTAATAACAAATAATGGTTAACTGTTTGCTATTATGCTTGTATTGGTTTTAAATTTATTGTTAATACTATGTGTACACTTTGTTTTTTTGTGACAATAAGGCTTCTACGGCATAACCTGCCACTTATAAACTTTTTCATTTTGAAATTATTTGTTTAAATCTGTGTAGTCTTTATACTTACTTCATATAAACCTCCTGACCACCACTTAAGGTTTTTATTTAGCTCTAGAACCCTTGATTTGCTTTAGAGTTTTTTTTTTTTAGCAATCCGAATACGATCAGTCTTTTTAAATTTGAGTCTTTCGTTGCGACATCCATTAAGGATATATGGCGGATTTTTGCTTCCCGTGTTTTTTACTGTTAAATTGGGAAAGATTGAGGAAGACAGACAAGTGTTGAAGCGTATTTTTGATGTAGTTCGGTAACATACACACTTCTTGGATCCTAAATGATCGTTTTGTTAAGATTAACGAATGCCTCATTGTTTCCTTCAGAGTTTGGTGTTTCTTGGCTGTAAATCGAGCTGCCTCTCCTTTTCGATTCTCCTTGGCCACGAATATTTATCTGGCACCTAATATGTAATTAGAGGTATTTTAGCACTGCAGGGACTTCTTCACTGTTTAAAACAGGAATGCATTTTCTATTCCTCTCACTGTTTTCTCTTGCCTGTAAATAAAAATTGTTTAGTAGTCTTATCACGACTGCAAAAGTTATATCATTGCAAAGTCCATGTGTGCTATTTTGTCTTACAGTGTATTCATCGCTACTAGGACTCCAAATTCCCCGAAAAAGCGCTTTCTCACTAAGAACAATTTGCCACATTAGCAAGTGTAGACTGCTCGAGAGGTTAGGGCTCTGTTTGAAAAGAATCAAAAATTTAAGAGTCTCGGAAGTAAAAAAAACGATCTGTTGCTAGGTTTCGAAGACGCACAAAGTTTGAAGGCTTACTACAGTGTGTAGGGTAAACGACAAGAGATGTGAATGAATACAGACGCTGCCTCAAATGTTAGGAAACGGAAGAGAAAACAAAAACTTTTGTCACATGCTATCTAGTTTCTCTTTCCTTTGAGTTCATACAACTTTGAGTGGCAGTGGGGAATTGTGGCTTCTTGCTAAACAGAGGATGCTTGATAAGAACGTTGGAATTAAAACCTTGTTGGGTAAATAGTGTGCTGCTTCGTAACTATTTGCTGCAGTGAATCCAAGCAAGCAGCATAACTGAAACGTTTCTTTGGCGAGTTTTTCCGAAGGGTTCACTTCAGAAGAAACATTCCATTTAACAAGAAACAAGTCCCATTTCATTTCTATGCGCTAAAAACGATGTACAAGAAAAACGTGATGAACGAGAAGACCAGATTGTTAGGGTGATGAAGAACAGCAGAGAAGGTGGTTAATTTGGTTGGAGGAAGGCATTTGGCGTTGGAAGGAGTTGCGATTAAAAAAATGACATTACTAACGAGGACTAGTTCTAATCAACATAAACAAGTAAAACAACTACTATGCAGAAGACAAGTTCGCCATTCCAGTGTACTTTATCGACCTGGGAGATCTGATCACTCCTGTTCGTTGTTTAACTATCAACGTAGTTTCCAGCGTTGATGCCTGTATCCAATCTCTGACCGTGAACACGTTCCCTAAATCGGTCGTCATCCACTGTCTATTTGGCATGCAAGTTAATATGTATTAGGATTTTAGAACCCCTAAAATTGCACTACAGAAAATGATAGTTGAATGAATGGCGTCTAGTTTGACGTAACAATGCTGAAATCATACGGAGGTAAAAACTGTTGAGTCGACAACAATATAAAAAAACAATGCTCTCTATAATGGGCAACTCAGTCGGACTGTACTTTTCTAGCATTGCTATGAGCAACAAGTCCTGTTCCAGCACAAAAGTTTTCAGTTCCATTGAAAAAAAAAAAAA